CAACCAAATATGATCAAAAAATATAATTAAAATATGGGAGGCCAAAAAGCAGACCAAAACCTAATTCTGTACAGAGTGAATATAAGAGGCAAGAAGGGTATTTTCCGCTGAATAGTCACTGTCTTGACATGGCAATCCATAATGCATGGCAACTTTATCGACACAACGAGGGGAAATTAGACCAATATCTTTTTAGAAGATCTCTTGCTACTGGAATTTTAGAAAGTCACAAGAAAAAAAACAAACTAGGACCTGTACGACCTAATGCTCATGATAACCAAACACACAGTATGCACCTCGTTTATAAACATTTCTAGACTCATTAATTTAAGCACTCGCTCACAAGCTCGCTCATGCCTGAATTAAATTCGTGTCTAAAATGGCGTTTATCAAACTTGATGCATAATATACTATTATCTACGATGAACACAAGGAAGAATTTAAAGCCAATTTTATTTGTTTAAAATTTGACATTTATCTCGATTTTTCCCAATTTATAATAAACTTAAGTTCGTGAACAAAATGCTCAAAAGCCACTGTTGCTAACTTCAGCTTGTGACTAAAACGCCATAAAGTCAAAGCTTATCAATGGAGGTGTATATAAACAATATTAAAAGGTCGCTTAGGAATTTTTAAAATTAAAAATATAGTCAAAATTCAAGTATTAATAATTATTATTGTTACATTTCTGTGGGTAAAAGGCATAAGGGGATAAGTCAAAAAAAGCAATTTTTCAGTAGAGCCTTAAAAGTGTTCGCATTATTTCAGGAAATATATTTCCTAAATTAATGGGAACATGTTTAAGGCACTACTAAAAAATTGATTTTTTGACTTATCCCCTTATGCCTTTACCCACAGTTTTATTCATTATTATATTTTATTATAATATTATTATATTACATCAAAATTGTCTGTAAAAAATAAAAAAGTTATTTTAAAGCAAAGTTTTCAAAATGAATGTGTGGAAATGATTATTGAAAATAATAAGAATTATATAATGGAATGGACGATTAAGAAGAACTTTATAAAATTGATATGGTTTTGAAGGTACCAGTTATAAAACTGTTTTGTTAAACTTAATACAGTTAATACAGTGTTATATTTAATAAATAAATAAAGAAATAAAAACCAATTTAATTACTAACATTTTATTTTTTAAATTGTTTTTGGTGTTCAAAATTCGTTAGCGACCTCTAAAAAATAATCGGGCTCATTTTTGATAGAGCTCTTAAAACATTAATAATTGGCTTGTTTTTTACACCTACAATGTAAAACCCCTCTTAACATATTATCAATGTCAAAATTTATTTACTATAATACGTTTTTTTAATAACAATGATAGATTAGATGAAGACAATCAAATGTAGAATACGTCTTCTCCATCCTGGAGTACGGCTGTAAAAAATAAAAGCGTTTGAAAGGTGCTACAGGAAGATGCTAAAGGTGACATGAGAAGAAAAAATTCACAACTGAGATTCTTAGGCACATATAAAAATAACATTTTAAATGGCTATATACCATTCTGCCGTACTAAGCTAAAACCCCGTATCTGTAATATTAAATAATAAAGGACTAAAGGTCATTTTCATTGTTAAAAGCAATAAAAATTATCTTTTGTCCTTTATTATTAAATAATACAGATACGGGGGTTTAGTTTAGTACGGCAGCATTATGGAAAGAAAAATCAAACTTGCTGGACATGTGCTGAGGGGGTCAAGTGGGAGGCTGATGCTGGACGTGATATAGGGAGACATGGACAGACCAAGCAAAAGAGGAAGAAAAATACCAAGAAGACGTTACACGTGACAACATTGACACAGGGCAAAGCCCTGGCTCAAGATAGACAATGACTTGGAACAATAACCTACCTATAAGACTATCAAATTTGGCAACCATCGATGATAATGATGATGATAATAGTTATTTAAAAATTAAGGGAAGTAAGGCATAGTTACCAGTCGAGAACGTTTTTACGCCCAAGCGCTAGCGAGGGCTGGCAATAGAGTCCGAGGCTGGTCAGACTTACTTCCCGAATTGTTTATAACGTTTTTTTCACTCCAAAAGTTGTTTTTAATTAATTTTAATTGCTTATATTCAAGCAATTTTAATTGTTTACCTTTGGTTGCTAAGGATTTCATTTGACTATTTTCCAAACAAAGTGCAATGTCAAAAGTTGCATTCTTTATTTTTTAAGATGAATTGACGCGTTTCTCGGAAAAACATCATTAGTCCAAAATTAACATATTTGGGAAAATGAAAAAAACTCTCCGACATTCCCATTTTTTACCAAAGTACTTTATTGACCTATTTACTACATGTAAAAAAATGTAAGATACTTTGTCCAGAATTCCTCATGTTTTTTGTTTCGACAAATATGAAATAAACACAAAAAATACATGAACATGTGAGGTTTTTAGAAGAAAAAAACGAACAATTCTCCTTACTACAAACACTACAAACTAAATATTAACTCTGAGTAACAAAATAAATGAAAAACTAAAAACTGTATTACTGCCACACTCTTCGCATCCACTGCTGTTATCATCGTTGTCGACCGTGTTATCAGGACTGTCAGGTGCTATGGTCTTCTGGTCTTTTACAAGTTATCATAACATTTTCTATTGCTGTGCTCATGTAAAAGAGGTAGAAGCTTTTCTAGAGTGTCCAAAAACGTCACATGTTATGCACATGTGACTCTCTTAGACGAAACGGAGTGATGTTTTAGAAGAACAAGCTAAATTTCATATTTAATTATTATGGAACCTATAACATTTTTACGAGAAACACTTATTTGTATACGTATATATGGAGGTTAGGAAACAGTTGGTGCTAATATCTAAATTTCGACGATATTGGACTAATGATGTTTTTCCGAGAAACGCCTCAATTTCAACGAAAATGGGCAAGAAATGAAAATTAAAGAAGCTGCAAAAGCTGCATGTGCCTTCCTCCTACCGGATAAGTCAAAGGGGCGTTATCAAGATGCATACAAGTGTTTCAAAAAGTGGTGCCTGAGAATGAATTCTACAGTAATATCGGAAACAACAATGCTGGCATATTTTATGGATAAAAGCAAGGTATTAAAGTCGCCAGCAAGTTTGTGGTGTGACTATTCGATGTTAAAGTCAACACTGTTTATTGAAGACAACATCGATATTTCCAAATTCCCAAAACTCAATACTTTTTTGAAAAGAAAAAATTATGGCTATAAACCCACCCGTGAACAAATAAATAGATTTTTGGTGAAGGCTGACGACAGTCATATCCTTTTGATAAAAGTAGTTGCAATAACGGGAATAGCAGGTGCTTGCCGTTCGCAGGAACTGTGTGATATGATGATAAAGAATGTTTAAGACTTGGAGATACGAAAAATGGGATGTCTCGTAAATTTACGATTACGGCATGGGAGGGAGAGGCTGTTTGTCACTTGAAATTTTTTAAAAAATACCTGAAAATAAGAAAATAAGTGTCCATCAACGCTTCTTTATGCGGTATCAGAATGGTAAATGCTTAGGACAACCTGTTAGAAAAACACATTTGTGTCAATTCCGAGCAAAATTTCAAATTTCCTATGGCTGCCAAATGGTGAGACTTATACTGGACATTCATTTCGAAGGACTTCATCTACTTTGTTAGCTAACACTGGAGTCGATGTTCTTGCACTCAAGAGACACGGGGCTGGAAATCGGATATCATTGCAGAAAGTTACGTCGCAGACAGTCTTTCGAATAAAAATGAGGTGGCCAATAGAATTTTGTACGACAATAGTAATCATTCATTGAACACACTATGAAAATCTACCAGCAACTCAACGAAAATTTCTTATGTCAGTGAAAGTGAAGCAGTGTTATCAACAGAAACCATAATTCTAGATAAGAACGAAAATGGAAATACGGTTTCAGAAGTCACACCAACTTTTGTTAATTGTAATTTTGAAAATTGTACCATTAATATTAAGAAAAAATAATCTTGTTTAATTTGTACTTACTTCCCTAAGGAGGTAAGTTTTTACTTACTTCCCGTTGTCAACGGTAGCCAGAGCACACTCAGTAAGTTGTACTTACTTCTGTCAAATCAATGTCACAACATATTACTTACTATGTCAGGAGTGGAAAAAATATATTAGTTTTAGAATGCTTATAAAAACCAGAAAATTTAAATGCAACCTCGTATGAGGATTATAGTAAACATTTCTATATGCAGAATTTATATGCAACCACATACTGAAATAGGTATATAGATTATATTCAGTTACTGTAACTTGTCATTTAAGCAGTATAAAGTTCAGTGGTTAATTTGATACCTCCAAACACAATTAGCCTAGTAACGAGGTTTCATTCTGCGTTGCCATTATTAAATCTTTGAAATGCACTCTGCAACTCTGGCAAATTTTCCAATTTGTTCTCAAATCCATGTAGATTGTGATTAATGGGATGTCATCCTCATAATTTAATTAATAGCCAGATAGCAAGGTAAATGATAATAAAACGGAATTAAATGTTTTTTCTAAAGTAACAAAGGAAGTGAAGAATCATTATTTTTTAAATAAATATTAAGTACCTATATGGGCTACGTAAACAACAAAATGGGATTAACGATTAACTTTCCATATTTAGGTTAATAGCAAAGATTTGAAAACTGAACAATGCACATTTTTTTTACATGCTTTTGTGTGCATGTCTAAATTTTGACCGAAAGTGAACTAAATTTTGACCGAAAGTGAACTTACGCGAAGAAATGTTATGGACCGACTTCGTCAATTTTTTTTTATTTAAATTATTAGAAAAGGGGGTATCATAATTTGACCTCTTCAGCGTCCCTATACCCCATTGGACTTTGTATTGGGGTTCACCCATAGTTTCTTGAAGTATTTTGAAGAAACATTTTTTTGTTGACTTTACTTAATGAACACATAATAAATGCGGAAAATTGTATAAAATTTAAAGAATGTTGTTAAAATGAATTTATTTATGAATAAAATATTTTTATATCGGTTTCAGGTCGTTCAGGAATACGAAAGAGCAGTTATTTTCCGTCTTGGTCGTTTATTATCCGGCGGAGCGAAAGGACCAGGCAAGTACACTTAAAGACTAAAGTCGTCAACTAAACTGCTCCCGGTGTAGTTTAATAACTAATAATCTTAGGTTATCAATCCCCATTCAATTTATGCACCAATATAACTTTACAATTACCTTATCAAGGCACACTGTTATAATTTATTTAAACTATGCGGCAGGGTGAACTTTTTGTTCACAAATTTAACATTTTTAATGGCCATCAAATATTTGTTTTGCAATCTATTTTTAAGTAGTTCAGCTTTTACTTTACTTTTAGGAATAAAATATTTTCTTAAAAAAATATGGTTTATTTCCACACCCACAAATTAAAGTCACTGGACATGTAGAAAAGTTATTGGGTTTTGGATCTCATAACATTAAAAGTTTGTATCACATTTCTTAAAAATTAATGTTATCATATATGATAATAATAAAGGGTGGTCTATTTTATTTCCTATTATTTTAAATAGATAATATAAGATATTATTAAATAATAATCTTATGTAAAATTTTACAAAATTTTATACGATTTTATAAAATGTTATACAAGGAAAAATTTTAGCTGTAGCTAATGACGTAGAAATTCTTTTGACAATTATTTTTACGAAAAAATAAAATTTGTACTTACGCTTGCGCACTAAAGTATGATTTACTACTTTGACCACAGAAGGCAGAAGTCGCACTTCACAGATTTCGTGTCGCAAAGTTGAAGTTTGAAGTATGTCCCATGCCCATCGTCTGTGGCATCTTTTATACGAGTGTACTCGTATAATAGAATAGGTATTATGCATCAAGTTTTATAAACACCATTTTAGTTACGAGTTTCATTAGGCACGAGCGAAGCTTATTAAAAACGAGTGTCTAGGTAAGTTTATAAAACGAGTTGCATACTAAGTATACTTTATCTACGACGAACACAAAAAAGAATTTAAAGTCAATTATATTTGTTAAGCATTTTACATCTGTCAAATGTCAACGGAATTAACCTCACTTTTCTATAATATATAATAAAGCTAATGTCAGCCCGTGACTAAAATACCCAAAAGTCACTACTTATTGACAACTTCAGCCCGTGACTAAAGCGACATAAAGTCACTGTAGAAGTAGATAAATACATTTAACTTATTTAAAAAGGATAATTGGTGTAGCGGAAATGTCTGCATCTCATACTCAAGACAACGTATGCGTAACTACGAATTTTATTTTGTCGTAAAAATAATTGTTAAAAGAATTTCTACGTCATTAGCTGTAATGAAGGAAAACTTTGTATTGTATAATATTTTATAAAATCGTATAAAATTTTGTAGAATTTCATTGAAATAAAAAGATTAGGTAAAAAAGTAATCGTACTAAAATTGAGTAAAAGTAGTACCAGATTCGTTTAATGTAATAAAAAAATTGATTTTATGGGAATCTCTTGTCAATACTTTTTACTTATCTCTTTTCAATAATTTTAATTTTTTCAATAATACAATAAAATCATCACATATTTTTAAAAATAAACAATTCATTTTCATAAAAATAATTATAATTTTGCAGTCAAAGTAAAAAAATAGAAAAAATTACTATAAGTTTAAAAGTTATTTAAGGTTAACATTAAATAACTTTTAAATCAGTGAATTTATGAAAAAATCATATAAAAGCGTTTTTGTACAGAATTCAATTTCTTATAATAATATGTGTCTTCTATTACTGTTTATTAACTTACTCGGAAACCCCATGTTATTTAATACAATATATATATATATGTATATATATATATATATATATATATATATGTATATATATATATATATATATATATATTTTAGGGTTCGCTCAAGATTTTTTAAAATTTTCAAAATCGTCAAAAATTGAATTTTTGTTTTATTTTAATTTTTTTTTCGTCTCGATATTATTTTTTTGGTTGAAAATAATAAAAATTCTGTAAATTTCAAATCAATATTTTGATTTCTAAAGGTCGCTAAAAGTTCGTTGATATTTATATTCAGAGGTCGCTCAAAAACATTCAAAATACTTTACTTTGAAAGTTAAAAAAATCTTAAGCGACCTTTAGAAATCAAAATATTGATTTGAAATTTTCAGAATCATTATTATTTTTAAATTAAAAAATAATATCGGAACGAGAAAAAAAATTAAAATAAAAAAAAAATCCAATTTTTGACGATTTTGGAAATTTTTAAAAATCTTGAGCGACCCCGAAAATTTTTTTAATGGAGCTGATCTTTTGACAGGGCTCTTAAAACATGACAAACCAACATATTTTCACAAGAGACAAGAGAAAAAAATATTCTTTTTTTTTTGGGCCACCCTAATACATAAATAATATATTAAAATTCACTAAGATAAATTTAATTAAATATACACCTAAAATTTGTTACTTTAACACTTTATTGGTAGTGTCTATATAAGTATAAGAAAATATATTTGTTATTAAGAATTATGTACTAATTACTACTATCTGATTCGTAGATAAGGCTGTAACCTTTTAGAGCTAGTAAAACTTTGTGTGTATTGTATATTTAATTGTTTAATTTTTTTGAAAAAATATATTACCATAATGTGGTAATAATGCCGTAATAGTAACGTATATAGACTAATAGTCAAAGCATTTCTTGATTAATATGGTGTTTTAATAAATTGATGTTGACAAATAAGTAAGAAATAAAAACATTTTTTTGTTTATTTAAAGGAGAAAGATCAATCTACACAATACTGAAAAATTAAGCTCATTGAAAATATTAGGGTGGTACAATATTTTTGTACTTAGTTTGGTTAAAAAAAGAAAGTTAAGTTAAAAATAAAATAAGGTAAATTCATTTAAACCCTATTATATATTGTTATAAGCCATATGGTCGCCGCGGCGAATATTTTCCGTTGCGTCATCAATTTGTGTACCAAGCACAGACATTTTAATTAGCTGTTTTCTTTGTATAGTCGCCTCGGCGCGCCGCGGCGTACATCCCATATACGCGTATGTGGTAATTATTATTATAATTATAACGGGTTTTGTTACAGACTAGAATAGTAAAAACTTCACCTGCCGGTGATTGGTGATTAGTCTACATTATTTTTACAGCCTAAGAGATAAAAAAATACTTTGGTAGTGAGCGTTGACAATAATAAAGCCTAAATTATAGAACGCTTGAAGATAAAAACATTTATAGAAGCTTTTTAATATTTGTTAATAAAACTTTTTAATATATTTTAAATTATTATACTTGTAAATTTAGTATAAATTAATTAAAATACATGTAAATTGGTTTCGTCCACTGATTAAAATTATAATACAAATTTAATTCCATAACAATAGTTTTAAACTATAATGTGTAATTATTACCTACAAAGTGACGCAAAAGTCATAAACCTAATAAAATACATGCAATACCTTGATAGATTTATCTTTTTGCAATCGCGCGCAAAGTATCTTCAGTGGTATCTATTATGTTGCGGTTTACTAACACAATTCATATTTTTATTTACAGTAGTAAGGAAATTGAGTAAGAATTTTGTGTGGCAAAGCAAATGTGGGATACCAGTGCACAGAGAGAAAAATATACTGCTGATTACCATAATTATAATACCCTTTACTGCAGTATTTTTAAATTACATGTAATTTACATTACTATTTGGGACAACTATCTGGTATATTGCCAGATACTATGCATATTTGGTAATTTTTAAATATCCATGTATGTTAAACCTTAAGGTAAAATATTATTATTCTCAACCAATTTTGTTTTTAATTCTTATTATAATTAGAATTTTTCCATTACTAATAAGTATAGTAAATTTTAAAATATTATGTTGCCATTTTAAATATAAAATATTTTAAAATCGAATATTTTTATATGTTAACAATTAAAAATTGTAACATATTTATTGTTCTTTTTAATATACAAAAATGTTATGAGAAAGAATTGAACCTACACCTCGCCAAAGTTTTTTGTTTTGAGTGTGTTCCATCAACTTCAAATACCGACAGACAGGTGTTTTGACCTATATTGGGTATCATCAGTGTCGACACGACCCTGTCGAGTAACTTGTAGACTACAAGTTGTAGTAGTGGAACACACCCAAAACAAAGAAATACCTGAGCTTATATAACATGGTTGGTAAGCCAACAGAGGTAAGAACATCACGTGATCCACACCGTCAAACGACGCGTCGCGACGTGGCCTTTGCCGCAATCGGTACATACTATGCAACCAAGTAGGTTCAATTCTTTCTTATAAGTATAACCAGTAATGGGTCAAGAAAGTTTATTAAAGAAACTAAGAAAATTGAATGTTTAAAATTTCATGAGTTACTATATTGTATATTATATTTAAATATATTGTTTATTTACCTTAAACATAAAAGTATCTTTATTTTTACAATATTTTTTATTAATGTGTAATATATTTTAATATTAGATGTACTGTATCAAATGTAAGGTGTACATCATGTACACCTTACATTTGATTAAATCATATAGTAAATATTACTATTTGTAGAAAGTAAAATCAATTTACTTTACGAACATATTAAAAACTAAAATATATATTATACATTTATTATTGTAATCTTTACTAAAATTGTATATTAAAAAAATAGTATTTTGTATTACAATCTTAATATTGTATTGACGAATATATATTATTGTTACCCTAAAAATTTGTAAATTTTACTATATTTTTTTTACTATCGAAAATTTACTATACATTTCTCTCCGTGTGTATTATGTTGCTCGTGTAGCGCGGTGCGGTCTCACATTATCGTCCGGAAAATAAAAAATTTGCCCGATAGCACGCTGCAGCGTAAAACATGGTGACAACATTGTTTATAATCTGTTCCTCATAAATTTTAATATTCATTGTATTTATCCAAAACTACAATTCGGATCTTCCACCAAAACATATGCCAGTCCATACCATAATTCTTTAAATATCTTGGTGTTTCTAGTGTATACTATAGTACATAATATGTACTACATATACACTTCTACTCATAAAATCGACCATATCTGGACCAGTCGGTAAAAAATACAATCTTGTAACCAGTTTGCATATTCTTTTGTTCATCGTCATCTTGCTAATTTGTGTAAGACTTGTCGAAGTAAACCAAATTGAAATTCAGTAAACGTCTCCTAATGGTTGCAATGGAAATTGAAACTCCTCTAGCATTTTCTAGACGGCTCTCTAAGACCAGAATGAGTCAAATAATGTTTATGTTGTGGTGTTATTTTCATGTGCCTTTCACTTATAAATTGGTCTCTCTTCTACACAGATAAAATAAAACTTTAGCCATTGATAATAGAACATTGACGATTGATGCCAAAAAAACTAATCAATTTAATATAAAATGCCAATGTCAGTGTCATTGTCCCATTTGAAACCATACAATTTGTAATAAAACTTAACGGGTTATTTTTACAACAGCAATGGTTAGTTATGTGACATCAATAAGTAGTGTCAGGAACTGTAGAATCAATATTCTACACACTAAATAATATTATGGATTGAAAATAAGTGGATTACTATTTTGGGCATCAGTGGTTACCATTTTATTTTCTTCCTGCTCCAATCCTGTCAATATTTCTAGACTGTAGTTGAGTGATTTGCTACATGTGCCTAAGTTAGACCTCCTTGTATCATATAACTAAAATACTTTATTTGTTACATACACATATATATAGACCAGGGTCGATAATTTTTGAAACCAAAAAAAATAACAGTAGGATGAAACCCATTGGAAAAGAAGAAGAATATAATAAAAATGAAAGGAAAAATAAATTACGGGCGATCTGACTTCGGGAAGTGGGAGGGGGGGGTTTTAAGGGTAAAAAATGGTTTATCTTGATTTCCGGCAAAACTACAAGTTCTATGGAAAAAAGTTAAATGGCAAAGTTGTAGGTAATAAAAGGATCTACAACTTTTATCATTACAATTTTTTCACATAACCTCAAAATTTATGTGAAAAATTCAAAAAACCAAGTTTTTGGTTTTTTATTTTTATCTTTTTCAAAAAAAAATTTTTTTCCACGAAATTTGGTGAAAACTTACCTTTTTATGTCCCAAATACACTGTAATTTATTTGATTTGAAATATTTATTATTTCGCCTTATTTTGACTTAATATCAAAAAAGCACCCTAATTTTCAATCGAAAATTCTCGCGTCAAAATATCAGCTTTTTTCAAAAAGTCGGTGTGCTTTTTGTTCGTTGAAATCTCTACTTTCTGATGGTGTAAAAAATATATACATTACTATGGTAAATGTTCTCAGAAAATGCAAAAAATATTATAATGAATAACGAAAAAAACTCGAATTCGAAAATTTATTTTAATCATTGTGTACAATTTCATCAAAAAAATGTGATTGTTGCAATTTTTTTAGTTAAAAAGTTTATTTATTAAATTCTAATAACATTTATGTCAGAAAATCTCATAAAATATAAAAATACATGTAAATCATACTATTGAATTTAGATACTTCATTCTGATTACGTTATTCATTATAATATTTTTTGTATTTTCTGAGAACATTTACCATAGTAATGTATATTTTTTTACACCATCAGAAAGTAGAGATTTCAACGAACAAAAAGCACACCGACTTTTTGAAAAAAGCTGATATTTTGACGCGAGAATTTTCGATTGAAAATTAGGGTGCTTTTTTGATATTAAGTCAAAATAAGGCGAAATAATAGATATTTCAAATCAAATAAATTACAGTGTATTTGGGACATAAAAAGGTAAGTTTTCACCAAATTTCGTGGAAAAAATTTTTTTTTTGAAAAAGATAAAAATAAAAAACCAAAAACTTGGTTTTTTGAATTTTTCACATAAATTTTGAGGTTATGTAAAAAAATTGTAAATACAAAAGTTGTAGAACTTTTTATTACCTACAACTTTGACAATTAACTTTTTTCCATAGGACTTGTAGTTTTGCCGGAAATCGAGATAAACCATTTTTTACCCTTAAAACCCCCCCCCCTTCCACTTCCCGAACTCAGATCGCCCGTAATTTATTTTTCCTTTAATTTTTATTATATTCCCCTCCTTTTCCAATGGGTTTCATCCTACTGTTATTTTTTTTCTCTTTTTACCATTTTTAAAGGCTTCTGCACTGGTCTAATATTTCAGAACATTATACCGAGTGTTAGAAAATAAATGGAAAAAAATCAAGGCCGTGGTAGGCCTAAACAAGTATTTTTGGTCTTTAATGTTAGTGACATATACCTAACCTTAATTATACAGAAACTGACAGATACCTAACCATAATTCTCCTGAAAGTGACATATACCTAACCCCAAATCTACGTCATTAATCAATACCATTGTTACAAGTTGTAACTTACAACCATGGTTGCAAGAATACATCGGGCCAGTCCACGCCCAAAATTTAAAAGGTGCGGACAGTTTTAACGCCTGTATCTTGGTAGGGAACGTTTTCGGAGACATGTCCCCAATACCAAAAATGCTCGTCTCGCTTGGCCTTTCATCCACTTGATATTTTAGAATTTATTTCCTAACACCCTGTATAAAAACAGTTTATTTGTATTTAATTTAATAAGAAATATATTTCCTTTTCAGGCATATTTTTTATTCTGCCTTGCATAGACGCATACGCTAGAGTGGATTTAAGAACAAGGACATATGACATTCCACCCCAAGAGGTAAGTAAATATTATATTTTCTAAAAATAAAATTTTAATTGAAAATAAATTTACCTGTATAATGTATAAAATAGCTTTTAAATAAAATTACAGAGTATTAAATTCTTACGGGAGACCTCTCTAGGGGACAATATTCTTAAGTATCTTCTTAGCCTTTATAAAATGTTACACAATAGAGCCAGTAAAAATAATTTTTGTTTCAATTAACTTTTGGAGTTTGTAAATTATTTTACAAACATTTTAACTTTTAAATTATTCAATTAATTTTATATTTGCAGAAGCAAAATGGCACAAGTTCAAAAAAGAAAAGTGGAGTAAAGTTTTTGCAATATACAAAAATCTGGATACTTGTTTCAATGTTTGCATTTATCAACATGCAAACGTCATACAATATTTCCGTCATTGAAAAATTAAAAAAAAAATGGACTCTACACTACCCAAATCTGCACTTAACTTATTTCCATGCTAAAATGCACTAGTACGCTTTTGCTTCTTACCCCTTCATTTATTATTTATTCCAAAATCTTAGACTAGAGCAAATATTTGGGTTTTACTTACTTACTCAGCGAGTTTTAGTAAAAACATATTTTTTAATTTAAAAGTTTTGTATATTTTAAATACCTGTCTTGCTGTGTGGGGTTATTTTAAGTATTCACAGTTTTTTGTCAAGTAGTTTAATTTTAAGTTACTTATAAAGATTTAAAAATTGAATTTTGTTTTTATAATTTTAATGTAATATTTATATAAAATGATATAAAACAAACAACAAAATAGAAAATTAAAATAAGGATAAAAAGTTTGAACACAAACAGAAAATGTTTCTGTCAACAATGTTCCACTTTACGGCAGTATACGTCGTTGTTAATTTTGTTTCCATAACAAAACATAATATTTTGTCATAAATCTGCATAGAAAATCAACAACGTTGCCGAGTTTTTAAACTTAAATACTTAATAACATGAAAATATGTTTACGCTTAAGCTATAGTAAATTTAAAAGTAAACTACGTACACGTCATCAATAAAACAAAAATTTTACGCATTGGTACCAACACTAAATGACTAAATCGAAGTCTGTAATTGAATATTTGAATGCATTTTAAACATCTTCAGTTGGCAACAATTAAGATGTTGTCATATTTACATTCAAATATTTCATATTTAAATGACACATAAAAAAGAATTTGACGTTTTAGAATTTCGAAGCTGTCAGTTGTGTTTTTGAATATTTCGTTTAATTCGTGTATTATTTCGTTTATTTTGTTTGTTGTTTGTGTTATTTTATATCGTTTAAGTTTTCATTGCCGTTTTTGTGTTTGTTATAATATATTATAATATATTATATCGTTTTTTTTTGTGTTTCCTATATTTAAAATGCCGAAGCATTTAAATAGTCAAGAGTTGGTGTCATCCTTAATACGCTATTTTGAGGCAGAAGGGGATAATAATGGACCTTTGTTACCTTTAACAGCTGTTAGAGAGGTAAATAGGATTATTATTAATTATATATTAGAATATTTAACAAAATATATGTTGGATACATAAAATAATAATATATATACCAGAGACTGACTTTAGATGGCAAAATTTTTGGGTTTTATATCAGAGAATGTCTTTAAAAATGGCTAAAAACATACTTTTGGCGGTGCATCATATAGTTTATAAAAACTCAGACTTTTGACATTTTGGTATTATTCATGTAAACGCCATCTATCGCCCTGTAGTTGCACTACCACTTTCCCTTGATGCAAGGATTTTAGCATCACATTGACAACCGTGCCCGATCAGCTGATTGATGACGTGTACGTAGTTTACTTTTAAATTTACTATATGTAACTTTATTACACACAATGCATCTACCTATCAACCAAGGGCGTCGCTAGGAGCAACGATATGTGTACGTTTAGTAGTATATAAAACACGGCGGTAAAAGCTTATTAATTGCCTCGCACACAATATACTGCCTGAGCTATCGCCTTAGCAATAATATGTGTTCCTCCGCCTGGTTTAAAATGTATTTTTAATAAGTTTTTACAAAAAAAGGTTTAAAATCGATCCATAACTGTAGGTGAACTGGTGTAACGGGGTTTTTATTTCTTATTCCTTGGTTGGCCTGTGGGAGCTCGTGATGGACGAGTCTGAATAGAGGCGAAGTATTCCAGATATGGATTTTCAAACACTGACCCACACACGTCGAATCACCCGGAAAACTTCACACACGATCACTGTATACTTACTACTTGACTTAAATTGATTCAAGGTTTTCTTATAAAACAGACAGTAGTAATAAAGCGATATTTCAAACTATATAAATATATTTACAAACAATGAATTAACAATAAAAATGAAAAGATAAAAACAGTAGTGTTAACTTAAGACTTTTTTTTCTGGGTGTTTTTCCACTTATTAAAAGTATGTCCACATGCGTGTAAATGTTTACCAAACTTAAAGGTCATGTTGTCTTTTAGGTGTTCTTGCATTACATTCTTCGCATTTAATATACACCGCGTTTTTCTAAATAATTTGTGGAGTCTTTTCCGTTCTTGAGATGATTAATTATATTTTCTTTTTGTGATGTGGCACAGCTTATGTCATATTTTTTAAGAGTTTTTCTTATTTTGTTATTTATTTCTCATTGGGATGAGAGTTTTCTATAATTATTTTCTTTAGTTTTATCTGTTTTTTGCAGAAAATGTGCATTTAGAAATCTCTTTTCTTGTTTTTTCTTTATCATTTTTTCGAAGAATGTAATGCAAAATATATTGGGGAGACAGGAAGAAAAATTAAAGTTAGAATTAAAAAAAAAGTCTTAAGTTAATACTACTGGAAGCTTACGAAATAAATAAATCACTAAAAGATGAAAACTGCAACCTTCTAAATGAACAAGTAGATTTATATTTTAATCCACCTTTAAGCAATTATAAGACTACAACCCATATACCATCATGCATTTGTTTTAAACTCTATATTATTGTAATCTTTGTCTAACAAGAAAATTTATGACTTTTGACAATGTAAGTAGCCCTAATATGTATGTTACTATATATTGTATATTGTTTTATCATTGACTTATCTTCACTCAATGGTTTTATTTTAATAAGTTTGATTTTTACAATAACATAATTATAACATTTCAAATCAAAACAATTATTTTAACTTATGTATATTTTGTAGATAGTCCCATAGACAAGGGATTGGTTGGGTGGGCGGGTGGTTAGTCCTAGACCGAAACTAGTAGCAATATAAATAAAATTGAAAATTAAGTAAGAAAGTATAATTTCATTAACAATACAATATATTGCTAAAAATGGACTATTAAAAATTAATGAAGGAAAATTAAAAAAAGGTAATTAAAGTTAATCCATGCAGAGATTTAATGAAAGATAACTAGTTTACAACAAAGACTAAAAGTCTGGATTTAGAATTTTGACTAAACGTAAACTAAAAGAAAATGTAACAAATAATTAAACTATAGTTATAATAAAATGAACTAAAATAAACTATAGATATAATAAAATGAATGAAATAAACTATCAGAGTAAATCTAATCTATACAAAATTGGTTTGAAATGCAATAATTATTATAGATACCTTACACCGAATCAATTCAAGTTGGCAAATAGTGGCTAAAACGGATATCTGCGGACGTTGGAAAAGCGCATTAAAGAACTGGCGATTCAAGGATCGCGTTGGTTTTTTATGGACTATTTCTAGGTTTACTTTTACACTGATTTAGATTTAGAATTCTTGGTTTACAGAAAGTGTGGTTGCCATATGCTTGGCGGCTTTGGCGAAACGAATATAGCCTGCTTTATGGCCTCTATTTAAATTTTCTTTAAAAACAACCCCATAAATTTGTTTTTGACGTTACATTTTAAGTACCCCCTTTTCAAAATTACTTATTTCGAACATGTTGATGATTTCTAAACCTTTCTAAGAAACCTGTAATTGCAGATCTTTCCAAGAATTATTTTAACCGCCTTTTTTAAGATTCGCCATATTATACTGGCATTTGATTAAATTTCTTTGGGTTCTAGGGGAGGTAGCGGCCCATTCATGACATGATTAATTTATATTACTATTTGGGACACCTATCTTGTATATTGCTATGGATATTTAGTTCTTTTTAAATATACATTTATGTTAAACCTAAGGTAAAATATTATTATTTTAAACTTATTATAATTAGATTTTTTCCATTACTAATAAGTATAGTAAATAACTTTGTCGCCATCTGTTTTTCTTTGGCCCAATAATTTACATATAAGCTACTTTAGTGCCGTATGTGGTAATAAATAAATAAAATTTATCTGAAAAATATTTTATATTTTAATAAACATATTACATTCATAATAACAAACTAAAACAAATATGTATAAAGAAATAAATGCAAATTTTAAAATTAAATAATTTATAATATTAAATTAAATATTGTATTTTATTTTTTTGTATAATACAAAATACATTTAATTAAATCATATAGTAAATATTACTATTCTGCCCTGCTAAGCAAGAATAGTATATTCTGTAACAAGTTTGGAATACAGCATATTCCGCTCGAGTGAAGAGTTTGTCATACGAGCCGAAGGCGAGTTTGACGGGTTCACGAGAGCGGAATATGCAATTCCAAACGTGTTTCAGACTATACTTTTTCTACGTTTCCAAAAAATACCATAGAAAAATAATTTAATTGGAAGAAAGTGAGGTTGGATCGGTCTAAAATTTGTTAGATATTAAAAACAGAGATGTCGCCACGAGTGTTTATTCTGTAATCCGATGATAGAATATTTCATTCTGTAACACTTTACGGAATATATGTCATTCCACAGATAAAAGTGATATTAGAACGCTCAAATTCCGTAATAGTAGAAAAAGTCATATCTGACAATTTGTTGATTTGGAATAATTGTAATTTAAGACCACTTTTCTTAGTAACACAATAATTTTTGTAGTTAGGACAAAATTAATAGAAGATTTATCATTTTACTAATGCAGATAAAG